CACTGAGGAGAAGGAAGGGGTGAGGAATGTTTCTAGTTCTTCTCCACTCTGGAGTGTAAGCCTGGAAGGAAGTGATACTATCCAGAACCTAGAATGTTCTCTCTTTTCATTCCTGCCTACAGAAGATGAGCGGCCTGGAGAGGGGGAAGTCCTACGTGGGCTTCACCACAGAAGTTAAACCAGGTTTTTAAAAAACATACTATGCTGAAGCCCATAGTCAATCTCACTTCTCTGAAAGAAGTATCATGACAAATACCTTGGAAACAAAATGGAAGGAAGCAGAAAAGCAAGAGAGTAACAGTTGCAGTGAGTATAAAGAACAGAAGTAGAGGGGAAACTTAATCTGCAATATTTTTAAAGGGCTCATTTTCAGTTTACCACCTTGTGGTTTAAAGCAATTAAAGTGGATTCTCCCAAGTGAAAAGTACTGTTATGGCAAAAATGTTTTCGGCTCTTACAAAGTTTTCTTCAAAATCTTTAGCCTCAATATGCAATAAAAGGTTGTAAGAGTTCATTTTCAATATCTGTATGTGTGTGTGTGTGTGTGAAGGGGGGAGACTGTAATGAACTCAAAACGCCCTTAAAAACAACTTCCTTGCCATATCACCTTTCTAAAACCTAAGAATATTTTCCCAAGAGTATCTCAATCTGCATATTATTGTTTAAAAAAAAAAAAAAAAAGATGACGTCAAGTAGATTTTGATTCACAGCAACCATGTGTGTCAGTGCAGAACTATATTCCGTAAGGTTTTCAATGGCTAATTTTCAGAAGTAGATTTCCAAGCCTTTTTTCCCCCAAGGCTCCTCTGGGTAGACTCAAACCTACCACCCTTTGGTTAGCAGCCAAGCATGTTAACCATTTGCATCACCAAGGGACTCTGCAGCATCAGTAGGAATGTAGAAAGGAGGGCCACTACAAATGATCTCTCTCTTTAAGAAAGAAATAAGTATCAACAACCGCTCCAAAGATTTTGCTTGATATCACACATCATTGGTAGTAAGCCCAGGGCCTTTGAAAGGATCCAGACTGAATCCAAATGTTAACAGTGAAAATACAAAGGGGCTTTAAAAAGTTCATGGAAAGATCCCATTATCATTTAATTCCATTCTTCTGCATACTTTTTGATGTCCCCTTGTATCTTACCAAAGTCATTTATAAAGAGGTTGAAGGCCAAGTTATAAGTGGCTAAATCTGGAAAGAGTTCCCTAGATTTAGTCAACATAAGCTAATGTCCTCTATATAGACCAAAGAATTGACCTGTCCACAACAATTCTAAAAGAATTAATGCAAACAAAACTTTAACAGTTACAAAGAAAACAAAAGAGAATTAAAAAATGAAAGTTATTATTGATGTTACCATGAAATTGATTCTAATAGTGACCCCATGTACAATAGAACAAAACGCTGCCCAGTCCTGAGCCATCTTCACCATGGTATCTGCTTGAGTCCATTGTTGCAGTCACGATGTAAAGCCATCTTTTTGAGGGTCTTCCTCTTTTTCACTGACCCTCTACTTTACCAAGCAAAGACACTATGTTGTTGTTAAGTGCCGTCAAGTTGATTCCGACCCATAGCGACCTTGTATAGGGTTTCCAAGGAGCAGCTGGTAAGCTTGAACCACCGACCTTGCAGTTCAAATGACTTTGCATTCTGATGCATTAGCTCACACCACCACACCAGGGCTCCCAAAGACATTATAGATAACTAAATATGTGTAACTCAATAAAATTAATCAAGCACAGCAGTGGTTCCTAAGTAAAGATCTACGATGAAAGTTTTCACCAACCCACAGTGAAATGACTATAGTAATGACAAGCTTACAAATTTTTCATACGGTTAAATTTACTTATCTATAGAATTATCCTTAATTCTAAAACAAAAGTGTGTACTTCCTAATTTGTTGATGCTATCATGAAAGGCCCATGATAACAAATGACCAGGGGAAATAGGTTCTAACACCCTTACTCAATAAAACTAATAAACCTCACCGCCAATTCCTAAGCATACACATGTGTAGGTAAAGTGTAGGTGAAGTCCACAATAACGTAAGCCTGAGCACTGAAGGCCATCAAGCTTTGAATAGTCAAATAATATTTGAAAAATAGTTTCTATACAAAGAAGAGTAAAGACAATTTCTATATAGGTTTCCCAAAACCAAGATTAATTAATTTTGTTCTTTTTTTTTTTTTACAGACCCAATTTTGAACATTTGGATTTGACTTGAAGCATTACATGTGCTTTAAAAACTCAAAACTGAATGTTACTGGTTTTATAGTGGGAGAATGCTACATTTCTCAATTTAAAACAGCACAATCCTACTTTTAATATTCTAAGTATTCATTCACTAATGTAAGAAAGACTTCCATCCAATTACAATCCTGCAAGAGAATTCCTCTCCAAGGCATTTAACTTCAACTGAAAATTTCATTATAGGACATTTTAAATTGTTGAATTTCATTGATTTCAGGCAATTTGTCTTGATTAAACAAAAATCAAAACTAGACAAAATATATCTTACATAAAACTATTTCTAATTACTGTTTACCTACCCATGGAGAAGCTTAAAGAGTAGGGTAAATTTATTCCAATTACAGTTAAGTGAAGTTGCGTTTTATAAAAAACCTGCACCAGATTTATTCGTCATACTCAAGTAGATGCTCCAAGAATTTCTTACAAGGCTGCACTTGATGCATACAGAACAAAGATAATGTGCTAGATCCTGGTGTGGTACTGTAGGATAAGCACTGGGCTGCTAACTGCAAAGTCAGTGGTTCAAATCCACCAGTCACTCCTTGGAAACCCTATGAAGAGTTGCATCCAGTCAGAACTGACTCGATGGCACTTAAAAAAGCAACATATTATATGTTGATATGAATTTTCCTACTGAATTTGAGTAAATCTAGAATTAACTATAGGTAGCACTATCATAAAACATAAAATTCTTATTATATTGCAGTTCTATGCTTATAACATTTGTTTTTTTAAAAATACCTTAATTTTCTCAGTGACTATGAGGGAACTTCAAAAGGTTCATGGAAAGTATGTAATTTTCCCATAAACTTTTTGAAGCCCCCTTGTGTTTGAGGAAACTTTCTTTCCTACTTACACTAACTTAGAAGAATACACATACTTAGCCGCTGCAGCACAAAGAGACCTTCTACTGTGTTGTTGTTGTTGTTGTTAAGTGCCGTCGAGTCGGTTCCGATCCATAGCGACCCTGTACAGGGTTTCCGAGGGTGTAAATCCTTACGGGAGTAGAAAGCCTCATCTTTCTCCCGCGGAGCGGCTGGTACAAGCAGTCTATTTCCAACGAAAATCCAAACAGTCTTTCTTATTTTAATTGTACCTCAGGCCATTCTTTTGGTGTAAGAGACTCCATTAGAAGTCTGTCAATTAATAAATGTGTTGCTCAGGTAGCGGCAGAGAAATAACTGTATGTTACCAGTGAAGGTACCCCATAATTGCAGCATTTAATACCTGTTGTTCCTAATGCCACCAGGCCAACTCAGCCTAATGAGTCTTCCTTCCAAGTGCCACTGTCTAATATTGTAGGCCTATCAAGATGAGCATTCAGCAATGGAGTCCTCAGAAGTCAGCCAATCATTGCACTAGCTTCTCAAATAAGTGGGGATTTCACAAAGCTTGTGGAAAAATTCCAGTATCTTTTCATTCCATTTCTCCATGAATTTTGGAAGGCCCCTCGCATAAACAAAGAGTACTGATTTTTAGTTCTTTGCCACAAGGAAATGTACTGAAAACAAAGCATTAAAAGCATAGTTATGGAAATAATACCTCCCCTTTTAAAAAAACAACAACACTGAATCCTAAATTAAATTAAATAAGGAGCTCTGGTAGTGTAGTGGTTACGGATCAGGCTGCCAACCTCAAGGTCAACAGTTCGAAACTACCAGCTGTTCCGCGGGAGAAACATTAACCTTTCTGTTCCTGTAAAGATTTACAGTCTCGGAAACCCTCTACAGGGTCGCTGAGTCGGAATCGATTCCATGGCACATAACCACCACCACTTATGGACACTTGTTCTTGGCAATACTGGCTCTCCTGAAACATGATGGAGTTTTCCTGGTGTGGCGCTGTAGCTCAGCACTGGACTGCGAACCACAAGGTCAGCAGTTCAAACCCACCAGTTGCTCCTCAGAAACCCTATACAGGGTCGCTATGAGTGGGAACCAACTAGCCAGCACCTAACAACAACAAAGACAGGAAAGGAGTCCTGGTGTGGCGTTGTAGATAAGCACTGAACCACAAGGTCGGTTTGAACGGAAAAATACGCGGTTCAAATGCACCAGCCGCTTCTTGGAAACCCATACTGGGTTATGAGTCGGAACCAACTCAACGACACTTAACAACAACAAGCCACAGAGTCCTGGTGTGGAGCTGAAGGATCAGCACCGGTCTGCGACCACAAGGCCGGCAGTTCAAATTCACCAGCTGCTCCTTAGAAACCCTATACAGGGTCGCCGTGAGTTGAAACCGACTCAACGACATTTAACAAAAAGCCAAGAAAACTCTATGGGCGGTTCTGCTCTAGTGGGGATGGTCATCCACCATCATCAACAGATATGTCAAAACTGCAGCATAAAATGAATGTGAACTAGGGCAAAAGACCTATCGACAGCAGTTATAAAATCACGTGCCTGAAACACACCTCAAATGTTGCGGCCTAAATTAAGCAAGGAGCCCTGCTTCGTGCTCGCCCCATCTCCCAAACCAACCAAGAATCATGTCCGGGCCCAGGACCCAAGAGCCCCTACATCATCCTTACCCCAACTCTCCACCCCCTCTAGCCCTGGGTTCACCCACTCACTGCCTGGGCCCCAGAATCTAAATCCTTTTCTAAATGCAAGTCCCCAGAAGCCTTGACAACGGGCTTTTTCAAGCTTCTACAACCCAACGTTAACAACATCGTAATGGTATTTCCCTTCAGGATTGAAGCTCCCGGTCGCCCCCTCCCACCAGGGCCAGGCTCCCTCACACTCACAAGCTGACGGTGCCTGGGGGCAGCGGGCCGGACAGTGCCTTCCAGCTGGGCGCGGGCAGTCGCCTGCGGCTGCAGTCCAACAGGGGGTGACGGCAGGCGCAGGGCGCGGGGCACAGGTCTGCCTGGGATGCCGGCAGCAGAAACAGGATGGCCTGGGCGAGGAAGAGGAGCCGGAGCAAAGGTCTGGAATGAGACCCCAGCAGCCGCTCCTCCTGAATGCCTTGGGGCACCGGCGCCATTTTCCGCCCCCGACCTGGACTAGGCCGAGAAGAGCCGCCAGCTAGAAGAGGCGGCTCAGCGGAGACGTCGGCACCGGCGCAAGCACCCGAAGTCTGGGGTATTGCTTGTACCGGCTGAAGGCAGAGGAGGGACAGATGCAGTGGGGCAGCGGCGTCCAGGGAGCAGTGACTGTGAGGCCCTATGGACACCCCTCATGGGCCCGCCCCACGACGCAACGTATTCGCGTACACAAGTCAGCCAATCCGTGCTACTGAATGAAATTGCGTTGGGGCGGGGCTCCGTGAGGAGGCGGAACAGGCAATAGACATGCTCCTTAAGGAGGTGAAACTTAAGGTGTCCAGCAATTTCGGGTGTTTGTCTAGAGCTACATCACCGTTCCTCCGCTGGAGGGCGCAGTTTCCTTGAAAGGGAGCGATTGGCGAAGCACTGTGGGTCTGAAATTCGGATTTCGGGTATATCTACCATAATGGGAGAGAGGATCTTTTATCGTTTCTGGTCTCCAGGAATGGGGAATGACAAAAGGGGCTGTCTTCCAAGACGCAGTTGCAAATGGGAGCGGCACTTCTACCCTGGTTTTCACTGGTTCAGTCTCCTTTCTGCCCCCTGCTGCTTGTCTGCAGTTAGTGCAGTCCTGCGAATGGGCGGTAACGCCCACTCTCCAACAAGTATGTTTTCACTGTTTTTTTGTTTTTTTTTTTTTAATTAAATGTTTTTATTTTGCATTGAGTGAAAGTTTACAGGGCACATCATCAGCTTCACATTCAACCATTCATATAGCTTGTTTCATTACATTGATCATTATCCCCGCCATATATCATCAGTTTACAGTGTTTCTCTCTATCCTCTTTAGCTTTTTTTTTTTTTTTGGATGGGGGGGGACTTGGCTTTTTGGAATTTACAGTCTCGGCTTTTAGGGAAGGTTTTTACATTTGTCTGTGGATATCCAGGGCTCATGTGTTTTCACTGTTTCTTGATGGGCCTACATACACACTCCTGAAGGCAGGGGGCCCTTTTTATTCTTAATCATGGAAACAGCAGTAAAGAAATCAAACGGTATTTCATTAGACATATCTGCTGCACAAGACCTTTTTAAAGTGTTGAAGAGCAAAGATGTCAGCTTGAAGATTAAGGTGCTCCTGACACAAGCCATGGTATTTTCAATAACTTCATATGCATGCGAAACCTGGACAATGAATAAGGATGACCATAGAAGAATTGCTGTGTTTGAGTTATGGTGTTGGAGGAGAATATTGAAAGTGTCATGGGCTGCCAAAAGAACCAACAGATCGTGTTGGAAGAAGTGCAGCCAGAGTGCTCCTTAGAGATCAAGATGGCCAAACTTCGTCTTTCATACTTTAGACATATTGTCAGGAGGGACCAGTCGCTGGAGGAGGATATCATGTTTGGTAAGGTGGACGGTCAGAGTAAAAGAGGAAGACCCCCAGCGAGCTGGATTGGCAAAATGGCAGCATCAATGGGCTCAAGTGTGGTAACAGTAGTGAGGTTGGACCAAGACCCGGCAGTGCTTCATTCGATGGCACCTAACAACAACAACAACCTGCACCTCCTGTCTGTATTATCGTTTGGAATTCAATACATGTGGATAATACCGCAGTCACCGGAATGTTTCTAAGGAAAATACCTTTTTTTCCTCTGGTATGGCACTGTGGGTTAATGCACTGGACTGCAAAGTCAGTTTGAACTTCAAAGTTGGCGGTTCAAACTCGCCGGCTACTCCTTGGGAACCCTACACAGAGTCGCTATGAGAAGAAACTGACTCGATGGCACTTAATAACAACAACAATCCTAAAGTCCGGAGTCCTGGTGTGGCACTGAAGGATAAGCGCTAGACTTGTTGTTGTTGTTGTTAGGTGCCATTGAGCTGGTACCGACTCATAGCAACCTTATGTATGGCAGAACGAAACACTGCCCGATCCTGGGCCAGCCTCACTATTGTTGCCACACTTGAGCCCATTGATGTTGCCACTTAAACAATCCATCTCGTTGGGGGTCTTCCTCTGTTTTTCTGACCCTCCACCTTAACAAACATGATATCCTTCCCCGGTGACTAGTCCCTCCTGACAATATGTCCAATGTATAAGAGATAAAGTTTGGCCATCCTGGCCTTCAAGGAGCACTCTGGCTGCACTTCTTTTGTTGGTTCTTTTGGCAGCCCATGGCACTTTCAGTATTCTCCTCCAACACCATAACTCAAAAGCATCAATTCTTCTATAGTCTTCCTTATTCACTGTTCAGTTTTCGCATGCGTGTTATTGAAAATACCACAGCTTGAGTAAGGTGCACCTTAATCCTCAAGCTGACATCTTTGCTCTTCAACACTTTAAAAAAGTCTTGTGCGCAGATTTGCCTAATGCAATACATCGTTTGATTTCTTGACTGCTGCTTCCATGAGTGTTGATAGTTGAGCCAAGAAGAATGAATTCCTTGACAACTTCAATCTTTTCTCCGTTGCTAACAATGTTGTTTATTGGGCCAGTGGTGAGGATTTTTATGCTGGACTACTAACCACAAAATTGGAGATTCAAACCTACCTCTACAAGGTCGTTATGAGTCAGAACTGACTCGATGACACTTAAAATGTAACAATTCTAGATAACACACTCTCAGAAGAGCAAGTGGGGCAGTTGATTAAAAAGTGCACTGAGCAGTCAACAAAGTGAAAGGTGCTGTCAGAAGTTTTTTGTCATTTATCCTAAAGCAGAGATGTTCTGTACAAGTTAGAAGCAACAGCGAAGTCTGTCCACTCTTGGCGTGATAGGATAAGCGCTGGCCCGCTAACTCTGTTTGAACTGCGAAGTCGATGGCTTGAACTCTTTGGAAACTCTATACAAGATTATTATGATACGGAACTGACTTGTTAGCATAACTGCAACAACAACATCCTCATTGAACACCCTGCCATCAAGTACATTCTGACTCATAGCCATCTTACAGGACAGAGCAGGACTGCTTTTTTGGGTTTTCAAATCTTTGCAGGAACAGACATCCTCATCTTTTTCCCCAGAATGACTGGTGAGTTTGAACCACCAACCATTTAATTAGAAGCCCAAAGCTTAGCCCACTGTACCACCAGGGCCCTAGTATACTCATTTAAAAAAACAACAACAAAAAAATCACTGTCATCAAGTCGATTGATTTATAGCAAACTGTATAGGGCTTCCTAGAGTGGCTGGTGGGTTTAAACTGCCAACCATGGGGTTAGCGTCCAGTGTTTATCCTACAGCACCACATTAGAACTCATATTGGGTTTGCTATTGTTGTGAAGTGCTGTCAAGTCGGTTCCGACCCATAGTGACCCTGTATAGGGTTTCCAAGGAGCAACTGGTGAGACTGAACCGCCGACCTTGCAGTTCAAAGGGCTTTGCAGTCTGGCACATTAACCTACAGCACCACACCAGGACTCTGGGTTTACTATTAAGTGTGGTTGAATGTGAGTTGATTCCTATAAAGGTTTCCAAGACTTTATATCTTTGCAGTAGCAGAAAGCCTCATCTTTCTCCATCAGAGTAGCTTGAATCACCAACCTTGTGGTTCCCAGTCCAGTGCTTACCTATGGAGCCACTGTGCTCCAATGTAGGGTTTTGTTATTATTGTTGCTAAGTGCTATCAAGTCGGTTTTCACTCATAGCAACCCTGTGTAGGGTTTCCAAGGAGCGATTGGTTGGTTTGAACCACCGACATTAAAGTTAGCAGTCCAGTACTTATCCTACAGCGCCACATGGGGACTCCGTATAGAGTTTGGGAGACTTCCAAACAGCCTCTTCTTTGTCTTGCAGAGTAGATTCAAATGCACTCACTAGGAGCTCTGACAGCATAGTGGTTACCAGTCAGATTGCTAACCTCAGGGTCAGCAGTTGGAAACTACCAGCTGTTCCACAGGAGAAAGATGAGGCTTTCTGCTCCCATAAAGATTTACAGCCTCAGAAACTCTATATGGGGTCACTATGAGTCGGAACCAACTCCTTGACACATAACCACCACCATGCCACCAGGGTTCCTTAGCCATGTATTATATCCAACATTATGAATAAGACTTTGAGAAAGACAGCGGTGCTAGTGCAAACAGTTAATATGCTATGCTACTAACCAAAAAGTTTGGAGGTTCGGGTCCACCCAGAAACATCTCAGAAGAAAAGCCTGACCATCTACTTCAGAAAAATCAGCCATGGAAGAGCCCATGCAGCACAGTTCTACCCTGACATACATGGGGTCACCAGGAGTCTACTGGAAGACAACTGGTTTATACTTTTCAAAGAGCATTTGTGTTTGCTACCTTGTTGGTCCCTCAATGGCCACAAAATGGGCAAATCAGTTATTGCTGATGAGGAAATGTGCCTAGAGATGTTAAATAAATACCAGAGGGACAGAGAGTTTGTCATTAATTTGTGGGTTTTCTGAATCTCTTAGATGAAAAACTTGAGCACGTTGAGAAGAACAATGATGCTTAAGTCATAGAGTTGTCTTAAGAAGTAACTGAAGTCAAACTTTGCTATGACAGGTTTGGAGTCAGAATAACGCTTTTACAAAAAAAAACCTTTTTCTTTTGTTTTATATATTGGAATCAAGGCCAAATCCAAAGCTCCAATCCAAACCAAACTTTCAAGCCAAGATAGCAGAGTAAAATTTATTCTTATCCTACAGTAAGAAACTAGGCAAAGACAGTAACCCCACATTAAAAAAAAGAATCGTCTTAGTACCTCTTTGTATTGTAGTTTCAGAGTTTCCCTATGAAACTGTCAAACGATCCCATTAAAAATGTATGTTCTTGGACATCTAAGCGACAGCTACTCGTCTCTCGTTGTCCAAAAGAAAGAAGAATGATGAAAATCAAAGACACATGAAGACCATTAGTCCAATGGACTAATGAACCACACAAACATCAGTCTCCATGACCCTGAGACCAAAAGAAATAGACGGTGCCTCCCTACCACTACCATCTGCTCTGAAAGGGATTACATTAGAAGGACCTGGATAGAGTGTGAGAAAAACGTGAACCAAAACTCAAAATCGTAAAAAAAAGACCATGCTTACTGG